GGGTTCCCCCTGAGTTTGGGGCTGGGTTTTTTGGGTCCCCCACAAGCCCTTTTGTGGCGTCCTGAGGAAGGGGAGGAGGGACTGGAACATTGGGGTGATTCAGGACTGGGTTTTTGGGTCCCCCCCTAGGATTTTGGGGCCCCCTACAATCCTTTGCAGGGTCTCCTGAGGAAGGGCAGGGGGTGGGCGTTGGGGGCAGGTTTTTGGGTTCCCCCGCTGGGATTTCGGGGTCCCCTAGGAGCCCTTGCGGGGTCTCTTGAGGAAGGGTAGGGGGTAGGCGCCGGGGGGGGCGCGGGGTCGGCGCGGCTGCACCTGGGACTGGGCCGTGAGCTGCAGTTTGATGGCACTCGAGTTCACCTTGGCTGCGCGGAGCAGCTCCTTCATCCCGCGCATCTTCTGCGAGCGGAAGCGCAGCACCGGCCCCGGGGGGGGCGCGGGGGGCGGCCCGGGGGGCGGCCCGGGGGGCGCGGGGGCCGGCAGGGCCACGGGGGGAGCGGGCGGCGTCTCCTCGGGCCGGGGGGCGCGGGGGGGAGGCCGGCGCTCCCCTCCTTTCTTGGGGGTCGGCGGCTCCTCAGGCTTGGACTCGCGGCGGGGGCCGCGGCGTCGGCAGTCCCGGGGGTCCTCGGGGCCCCCCAGCTCCGCCTCGGGGGGGGCCGGGTCCTCCGACAGCAGCGTCACCTGCTGCCGCACCTGGGGGGGTCGTTGGGGGACGCAGAGGTAATTGGGAACCCCAAGGATGACGTGGGGAAGTGCAGAGCCCGCCCAGGACCCCCCCAGACACCGTCGGGATCCCCCCAAAGCCCTCACCTGGCCATCGAAGCGGCCGAGGGACTGGACGAGGAAGGTGGCCCAGCCCACATGCAGCACCGGGGTGGGGCTCCCCTCCTCCCACCGGCAGATCCCGTCGTAGAACCGCAGCAGGTGAGCGAAGCACTCGGGGTCCTGCAGCGCCGGGAGCCCCCCGGGGGACCCCTGCAGAGCCCAGAGTCAGGGGGGACCCCCGAGGAGGGAAGGACCCCACACATGGGGACAGGGCCACCCCCGCCCTGGCACCACAAAACGTGGCACATCAGGGACACCCCAATGGGGACCCACAAATTCGGCTCCCCCAGATGTGGGGTAACCCCTGGGCCCCCCGGTCCAGACTCCCTGAGGCACCCCCAGATGTGGGGCTCCCTCTTGGACCCCCTGAATGGGGAGCCCCAGGTATGGGACAACACCTGGGGCACCCCAATAGGGACCCCCCAAATGTGGGGCACCCCCAGCTGTGGGACACCCACCTGGATACCCTAAACAGGGACCTCTGAATGTGGGGCACCCCACAAACACCCCAAAATGCACCCCCCATGTACCCCCACCCCCCCCAAACAAAGCAGGGACACCCACCCTGGGCAGGGCTCCCCCAGGGCCCCCCCTCGCCCTACCCAGGGTGCCCCCAAACCCGGGGGTCCCACCTCAGCCCCCGGGGGGGGGCTCGGCCGCCGCCTCCTTGAGCAGGTTGGGGATGACGTCGTTGGCCACGTCGAAGAATTCCTTGTAGATCTCCTCGTCCTCCCGGCAGTAGTTGTAGCTGGGGGGGGCACGGGGGGCTTGAGAGGCTGCCCCATGGTGGTGGGGGGCACACAAGGCTTGAGGGGCTGCCCCACAGCCACGGGCAGGGCTGGGGACCCCTAAAAGGGTCACAGAGCCTGCAGAGGGTGGGGGGACCCCCGAGAGCCAGGCCCTGGGCAGGGCCCCCCACCTTCCCTGGCCTCGGCCCCGGAGGTGCCTCTGGGGGGCCCAGGACACCCACAGCCATAGGGGGGATATGGACCCCTAAGAGCCCCCCTGCCCTGACCCCACCCTCCCAAAGCCTCACAGGAGGAGGAACCCCCCCCAGCCCAGCCCACAGTGAGGGTTGGACCCCCAGGGGTCCCCCCAAGGCCCCCCAGCCCCTCGCTCACTCCTGGATGACGGTGGCCGTGTCAGCCCAGGCCTGCAGGGCCTCCTTGACGTTCTTGTTGCGGCAGTGGAACCCGGCCAGGTACAGGTAGGGGTAGATGTGCTCGTTGTTGTAGTGGGTGCGGGCGGACTGGATGCCCTGAGGGTGACGGGGGGGAGGTCAGTGCCCACCCGGGCTCACTCCTGGGCTCCACATGACCTCCCACCCTGGCTCACCTGGTGGTACAGGGTCAGGGGGTCGGGTCTGCCCGGGGTCGGCTCCAGCTCCTCCAGGTCCGCCAGGTTCCCCAGGGCCATGGGGTACCTGTGGGGCAGGTGGGGGGCAGCCCCACAGCGGGTTGGGGGGGGTCCCACGGCAGGTTGGGGGGCAGCCCCGAGGCGGGTCAGGGGTCCCTCTCACCTGTCCAGGTGCCCCATGTCGTAAAGCAACCAGAGCAGGCGCTGCAGAGGAGAGGGAGATGTGAGAGGGGACACCTGCCCCACACCCACTGCAGCAGCTCCAGGCCGTCCCTGTGCCCCCCCTGCCCCACACCCACTGCAGCAGCTCCAGGCTGTCCCTGTGCCCCCCCTGCCCCACCTGCTGCAGCTGCAGCAGCTCCAGGCTGTCGGTGTGGCCGTCGATGGACGGGTTGATGGCACAGACCATAAACGCCACCTCCATGTGCCTCGTGCAGCGCAGGTACGAACCCTTCAGGTACAGCCAGCTCTGGGGGACACGGGGGGGCACAGTGACACAGGTGACATGAGGGACACAAGGACACATCCACCTGTGCCTCCCCCCACCCCTCAGCCCTGCGCTGGGGGCACCATCTGTCCCCAGAGCTCCTCAGCATCCCCACCTGCCCTGGGGACTCCCCCGTCCACCCCCATCCCCATGCTCAGACCCCACAATCCCCTGGGTCTCCTCTGTCCCCGTAGATCCCCCCGGTCCCTGTCCTTATACCCCTGTCCCCCATTCCTCCCTCCCTGTCCCCCATACCCTCTCAGCTCCCCACGTGTCCCCTCCCTCCCTATGCTGCCCTGTATCCTCTCAGCCCCCCGTGTGTCCCCTCCCTCCCCGTGCCCCCCCGTACCCTCTCTGCCACCCCGGCCTGCACGGGCTGTCCCCTCCTGTCCTCGTTGCCCTTCCCGTGCCAGGTGACCTCGGCGGTCTGGGCCCCTCCGGCCCCGAAGGCCACCCAGGCGTGGTCCTCGCTCAGCGCCAGGTGCACGTCCGGCAGCCCCAGCACCTGGCAGGCCCCGACCACGGCAAAGGCCACCCCTGAGCTGTCCAGCTTCGTACCTGGGGGGGACACAGGGGCTCGGGGGGGCTGGGACACCCCCAGAGAGCCCCCCAGCACCTGGCAGGCCTCAGCCATGGCCCCAGGAGCTGCCCAGCTTCATCCCGGGGGGGGCACAGGGAGGCTGAGGGACCCCCCAGCTCCCCTCACTGGTGATGAGGCTGAAGAGGGACTGGATGTGTGTGGGGCCCTTGAAGCAGGAGCGGCTGAGGCTGTTCCAGGTGTCACCCCATGTGACCCCCCCAACCCTGTGTGACCCCCAGCACCCCCTCAGCCCCTCATACCAGTGATGAAGCTGAAGAGGGACTGGATGTGGGCCCTGTCCTTGAAGTAGGAGCGGCTGAGGCTGTTCCAGATGACGTCGGACACCTTGCGCACGAGCTCCCGGGAGGAGCAGCCGTCGGGCCGGGGGTACAGGGACAGGTCCACGGCCCCCCGGATCTGGGCCGTGAACCGGGCGTAGAGCGCGGCCACGATGGACAGCTCGGCCACCGGGAAGTACAGGCGGGTCTGGGGGTCCGGCCCCGGGCGGGACTCGAAGGTGACGCCGGGGACGTTGGTGGGGAGGACGCGGTTCACGGCCAGGAAGTGCTCGACGAACCCCAGGACCAGCGACAGCAGCACCAGGTCGGGCTCGGGCTGGCGCAGCTCGGCCTCGAACAGCCGGATCACGGCGGCCACGGAGCGGAGCGGGAACAGCGCCTTCTGCCACGGCTTCAGCCCCATCCTGGGGCCTGGAGGGGGAATGGGGATTTATGGGGGTTACAGGGTGGTTTAGGGTGTCACGGGGTTCAGGGGCTCAGCCACACCACGGTGGGCACAGGGCAGGGACAGAGCTTTCTGCCATGGCTTCAGCACCGTGGTGGGGCCTGAGGAGGAACGGGAGGGGTCAGAGGGACAAAAAATGGGGGGTTCAGGGGGTTCGAGGGGTCACAGCACCTCCTCCAGAGCTTGAGGCCCAGAGCGGGGTCACAGAGGGAGATGGGGGGTCAGGGGGAGCAGCAGCTTCTGGCCGAGCCCGAGCCCATGGAGGGGGCTGGGGGGCACAGGGAACGGGGGCGTTATGGGGGCGCGGGGTCGGGGGGGGGTGAGGCCGGGGGGTGGGACAGGGGCAGGGAGGGGGTCGAGGGCTCTGGGGGTGTTTGGGGGAGACCCCGAGACTGCGGGGACCGGGACGGACCCGCCCCCCCGCGGAATCCCCAAAGCGGTGGGAACCCTCAGGGACCCCCCGGACCCCGCCGCCGGCCCGGAGCCCCCCCTCCCGCCGGCCCCACGGCCCCGGGACCCCCCGAACCCCGCCGAGACCCCCCCGCCCCTCACCGAGGCCGCCGCCGGCGCGGGCAGCGCGGGGCACGACGGGAGGGGGCGGGGCCTGCGGCGGCGCGGGCCGGGATTGGACGGGAGCTGAGGGCGGAAGAGGCCGGAATGGGCGGGGCGAGGCGGGTAACGTGGGCGGGGCTAAGGGGGCGTGGCCGCCGTGGGCGGTGCTCGGTCTGGGTGGGGGGCGGGGCTGCGGGGGGGCGCGGCCTGGGGGAGGGTCCCGTGGCCCCCGCCCCCGATTTCCCCCGAATCGCCCCAACGTCCCCATTTCACCACCAAATCCCCCCGATTTCATCCCTGAATTGCCCCCAACGCCCCCTCAGGTCCCCCCCAAATCCCGCCCCAAGCGCCCCCATCGCCCCCTGACCACCTCCCAAAGTGCCCCAAATCCCCGCAGTGCCCCCCCCAAATCCCCGCGATTCCACCAAATCCCATCCAGGCAGAGCGCCGGGGCCGTTCCCCCACGTCCTTTATTGAGGTCCGAGGGGGTCCCGGGGGACCCGGGGGTGGTCAGCGGCGCTGGGGCAGTCAGAGCCCCCCCCGCGTGGTCCTGGCGGGGGGTCAGCGGCGCTGGGGGAGGCAAAGCCCCCCGGGCCGGGCCCGGGCGGTCCCGGCTTTGCAGGCACAGCGGAAGGAGCCGCTCGTGTTGATGCAGCGCTCGCGGGGGCAGCGGGGGCCCCCCCGGGGGTCCCGGCACTCATCGATGTCTGGGTGGTGGGAGACACAGGTCAGGGACCCCAAAATCCCGCCCCGAGACCCCCAACACTTTCCCCACCACAGAACCCCCAAATACCCCCCTGGGGGTCCCAGCACTCCTTTACATTTGGGGGCGAACGTGGGCTTCAAGGACCCCCAAAATACCCCCGTGGGACCCCCAGCCTCCCCCCAGAACCCCAGCACCTGCTGGTGTCTGTGGCATCGGGGACCCCCCAACTCCCCCCAGGGATCCCAGTACGTGGGGACACTGGAGTAGGGGGAGTCCTGACCCCCTCCCTTCCCTCCCACGCCCGGGACCCCAGGGTTTGGGGGTCCCCCGGCATTCAGGGTGTCCCAGCAGGGTTTGGGGGTTCCCGTTTTGGGAGGGGGTCTCACCGAGGCAGCGGGTGCGGGTGGGGTCTGGCTGGAAGCCGGGGGGGCACTCGCAGAGTCCCCGGGGGGAGCGGAGGCAGCGACCAGGGACCCCCCCGGGACAGGGACATTCGGCAGAGTCTTCCTCGGAGCTGTCGTCACCTGGGGGGGCACAAGGGGGCTGGGGGACCTGGGGTGGGAGGCACGGAGGGAGCTGGGGGTCCCAGGGTAGGAGGACCCCAGCTTTAAGGGACATGGGCGGAGCTGGGGTGCCCAGGCTGGGGGGACCTGGTTACAGGGGGCCTAGAGACAATTTTTGGGGTCCCATGGGGTGGAGGACCTTGGGCTGTTTGGGGTGCCCAGGATAGGGATCCCAGGGCTGGGGGTCCCTGGGGGACTCAGGGCTGAGGTTTGGGGTCCCAAGGTTGGGCGGTCCCAGGGTGGGATCCCGGGGGCTTTGAGGTTCCCAGGGGGCTTGGGGGCCCCGGGGGGGGTGGGTGTTGGGGGTCTGGGTTTTGGGGTCCCGAGATTGTCGGGGGTCCCAGAGGTTTAGGGGGAGCAGGTTTTGGGGTCCCACCTCTGCGGGGCCCCTCCAGGCCGAGGGGGCTCACGTCCCAGAAGGAATTGCTCTCGCTCTGTGACGGGGGGGCAGGGCAGGCCTGGGGAGAGCCCCACATCATCCCCTGCCCCCCAGGCAACCCCCACCCCCATGTCACCCCCTGTCCCCCGCCCCAGCACTCCCTGCCCCCAGGACCTTCAGCAGCTCCCCCAGATCCCATAGGGATCCCCCAGAACCCCCAGATCCCATAGAGACCCCCAAATCCCATGGGAACTTCTCAGAGACCCCCTCCCTGTCCCCCCCAGGACTCCCCCAGAGGCCTCACATCCCCCCTAGGGACCACATAGCCCCCCTGTAGCCCCCTCAAATCTCCTCCCGAGACTCCCCACAGCCCACCCCCCACCACCCGTTGCCCCTGCAACCCCCCCCAGACCTCCCCCTGTCACCTGGGGGCCGGGGGGGGGCAGGGCCGGCAGTGGGGGCCCCAGCCGGCCCCCCCCCCGGCAGCAGCACTCGTCCAGTGTGAGGGGCCCCCCCCCGAGGGGCGCCCCGCAGACCCCCTCGTCCCCCCGCCGCTGCCAGCACACGTCCCGCCGCTCCGGGGGGGCCCGATCCGGGCCGGGGGGGCGCTCTGCGGGCACGGGAGGGGGGGGGGGACACAGGTCAGGGACCCCCAAACGCCTCCCCGTAGGACCCCCAACCCCCTCCCGGGGGTCCCGGCACTCGTTGGTGTCCGGGGGTCACACGGGGGGGGGCACGCGGGGATCCCACGGACGTGCCCCCGGCCCCGGGGGGGGTCTCACCGTGCTCGGGGGGGGGGGAGGCAGCGCCGCAGCCCCGGGTGGTACCGCGCCCCCGGCCCGCAGGTGCAGCGGAAGGAGCCGCGCGTGTTCTCGCACGCCCCGTCCACGCAGTTCGACTCGTCCAGGCACTCGTCCACGTCTGGGGGGCGGGGGGTGGCTCGTGGGGACCCCTGGGCAGCACGGGGAACCCCAGGGGTCCCCCAACACCCTCCCAGGGATCCCCTCGGCTCTGCAGAGACCCCCAAACACCCCACACCCCCCAACGCCCCGGGGACCTTCTGGGACCCCCTGCTCGCCCCCCGTGGCCCCCCTTACCCAGGCACTGGCGCAGGGCGCTGTCGTAGTCGAAGCCGGCCTTGCAGTAGCACTCGTAGCCCGGCTGGGTGTTCACGCACTTCCCCCCCTTGCAGATCTCGTCCCCGAACAACCCGCACTCATCGATGTCTGGGGGGGACCCCCGGGGGGCTCAGGGTCAGGGACTCCCCCCAGGGCACCCCCGGGGGGACAGGGACCCCTCTGGAGACACAGGGACCCGCAGGACAGGGGGGACCTCAGGGCGCAGAGGCCCCCCCCGGGGGACGGGGGCACACGGGGGCGGTCCCGGGGAGGGGTCTCACCCCGGTGCGCCGGGACTCCGTAATCGAGGCCGTTGTCGTCCTGGATGAAGCCCCTCCCGTCGGGACAAAGCTCCACGAACTCGGCTGCGGGAGACAGGGGTGTGAAAGGGGGGGTCCTGAACGCCCAGACCACCCCTGGGACCCCCAAACTGCCCCTGGTGACCCCGGACTGCCCCCGGAGACCCTAAACTGCCCCCCGGGACCCTCAGAGCCCCCTCCTGTCGGGACAGAGCGCCAGAAACTTGGTTGGGGGGGGCAAAGGGGGGTCAAGTCCCCTTAGAACTGCAGAAGCCCCCCAAAGAGGGGATGGAAATGGGGTTACACCCGGCTGGGGACACCCCAGCCCCTCCAGGGTTCCCCCTGGCACGCGAGGAGAGGAGAGGGCAGGGGTAGACCCCACACGGGACCTCCCAGCCCCCACCCCGGGCCCCCCAGGACCCTCCCCGGGCCCCCCCCGTACCCGAGGAGGGCAGGGGGCAGGGGTACACCTCGCACAGGTCCCCCCACCCCGCCCCCACGGAGCAGCAACACTCCCCCCGCGTCACGTTGGTCCCCAAAACGGCGTCGCAGAACACGGGGAGCTCCAGGCTCAGGTAACACTCCTTGCGGGGGGCGGGGGGCTCCCGAGCTGCCAGGGGGGAGGCGAGGGGCGTCAACGGGGACCCCAGAGACTCCCCAGAGTCCCAGGGACCTCCCGGAGACACCTCCCCACACACACCTCAGGGACCTCCCAAAGACCCCCCCAGAGACCCCCTCTCCTGAGCCCCAAGACCCCCAGAGACCTCCAAGGGACGCCTGAGACTTCCAGGAACAGCCCCCCCCAGACCCCCTTCCAGACCCCCCGGGGACACCCCGGACCCATAAAAGCTCTTGTGCAGCCCCAGGAACCCCCTAAAGATTCCACCCGACCTCCCCGGGACCCCCCAGACCCCCAGGGAGGCCCACAAAACCCCGGGGGACCCCTCAGAAATGCCCTCAGACCCTCCGTGACCCCCCCTGACCTCCCAGGGACCCTCCAGACCCCCCCCAGGGGCACCCCCAGACTCCCGGGCCCCCCCCTCACGGAGGCAGCGGCGCCCGTCGGGGCCGGGGGTGTAGCCGGGGGGGGCAGCGGCAGCTGAAAGACCCCTCGAGGTTGGTGCAGGTGCCGGGGGGGGGGCACAGCCCGGGGTCCAGCGCACACTCGTTGATGTCTGGGGGGAAAAGGGGGACACGGGGCTCATGCGATGCTCGGGGAGACCCCCGGGGAACCCCCACGGCCCCCTCACCTCGCACAGGATTTGTGCGACGAAGGGGGGGCACCCCAAGGTGCCAAGACCCCCCCAGGGACTCCCCCAGCCCTCCCTCGCTCCACGGGGGTCTCCGCACACGCACCCGGAGAGAATGGGGGGCAGTGTGGGAGGGGGAGATCGGGGGCTGTTTTGGGAGGAGATTGTTGTGGGGGCTGTGTTCGGGGGCTGTTCGGGGGGGGTCTCGGGGGTCTCCGCACTCACCCTGGCAGCGGCGGCCGTGCAGCAGCGCGTACCCGGGGGGGGCACAGGCACCGGTACGACCCCGCCGTGTTCACGCAGTCGCCGCCCACACACGCGGCCGCGAACTCGCACTCGTCGATGTCTGGGGGGGGTTAAACGGGACCCCCGTGTGCGGGACCCCCCACCCGGACACGCCCCCCGTACACACCCCCCCCACCTCGACACCTCCCAGACCCCCCATGCGCACACACAGAGACGCCCCCCCAGACCAAAGGCTCCCCCCCCCCAACTCCATATATGCCCCCCCCGACCCCACTCAGCCCCCCCTCCCCAGATCTGAGGGTCCCTTGGCAGCAGGGGAGGGTCCCCGACCGGGTGCATCCCCAGCCCCCCCGGGTGTGGGGGTACCTTGGCAGCGGGGGGGGTCCCGCGCCGGCTGCAGCCCGGGGGGGCACTGGCACTTGTAGGAGCCGGGGGTGTTGACGCAGGTCCCCCCGGGGCAGAGCCCTCCGGCCTCGCACTCGTTCACATCTGCACGACCCCCGTCAGCCCCTGCCCACGGAGGGCTTCGGGGGCCGGGGGGGTCCTTGGAGGGGCAAAGGGGGTCCTGGGGGGAAGCAGGGATGGGGGTCCTGGGGTGGGGACAGGGATGGGGGCCCTGGGTGAGGGTCCCAGGGGTGCTCTGGGTCGGGGGGAGAGGTCGGGGATGGGGTCCCCGGGGAGGACTCGAGGGGGGGCCCAGGGTAAGGGACATGTGGATATTGGTGTCTCTGGGGGGGGATTCTGGGGGAGGGAGTCCCCAGGATAAAGGGGTCTCCAGGAAAAGGGGTCCTAAGGGATCCCAGGCTTCCTGGGGGGTCCCAGGGATGGTGCCTGAGGCACCGTTGAGGCCGTGGAAGCCGGGGGGGGTGTACGGGGTTCCCGGGGGGTCCCAGGGAGGGGACCTGGGGGGTTTGGGAGGGTCCTGGGTGGTCCCCCGGGGGTGCTGACCGAGGCAGGCGCCGTTGAGGCCACGGAAGCCGGGGGGGCAGGGGGTGCACACGAACCCCCCGGGCTGGTTCTCACACTTGGCCTCGGGGCACGTCCCCACATCCAGGCACTCGTTGATATCTGGGAGGGGGACGGGGGGGACATGGGGGGCATCAGGGGATGGGGGGGACCCCACAGCATCCTGTACTGGGGGCCTGCAGGATCCCCTGACCCTGTCCCTGGTGTCCCTGCGTCCCCACCCAGCGTCCCCCCCCCCCATGCCTGTCACCCCCCCCAGTGTCACCTTCGCAGAGGGGTGGCCGGGAGCCCTTGCGCCGGTACCCGGGGTGACACTCGCACTTGTAGTGCCCGGGGACGTTGGCGCAGGTGCCGCCGTCCCCGCACACGTCACCTTTGGCACATTCGTCGATGTCTGTGGGGACACAGGGGGTTCACAGGCCCTGTCCCCAACCCTGTCCCATGTCCTGAACCCTCTCCAATGTCCCCAGCCCTGGCCAGTGTCTCCAACCCCATCCCGTGTCTCCAACCCTGTACCGTGTGCCCAAGCCCGGACAGTGTCCCCAGTCCCAGACAGTGTCCCCAGTCCCAGACAGTGTCCCCAATCCCAGACAGTGTCCCCCACCCCTTCCCCGGGCTCCGTGTCCCTGTGTCCTCAGGGCCCCTGTGCCCCCATGGCCCCCCTGTACCCCCCAGGGCCTCGTGTCCCCTGTGACCCCATGACCCTCGGGATGCCCCCGGCCCCCCGTGCCCCCTCCCCGTACCCCCTGTGACCCTTGTGACCCCAGCCACCTCTGCCCCCCCGTGTCCCCCCCCGTGTCCCCCGTACCTGCGCAGGTGCGCAGCCCCTTGTGCAGGCGCAGCTGGAACCCGCGGTGACAGTGACACGTGTAGGAGCCGCCCGTGTTCATGCAGACGCCGCGCCCGGCGCCGCACGGCTCCGCCTCGCACTCGTTCACGTCTGTGCACGTGTGGCAGAGCGTGTCAGCGTGTGTCACCCACCACATGTGGCAGAGCGTGTCAGCGTGTGTCACCCACCAC